ACCTTGATCTGGACAGGATGCAACCCCATCTGCAGAATCTGGGCAATAGGAGACACCAGTCCGCACATCTTCGGGTCACGGGGGGAAACCGACACAAACACCTCGACCTGGGAGTAGTGACTGAACCCACAGCCCCCCGGAAAAGTGAGGTCATGCTGTCCCCCCCCCCCGCCGCAGCCCCCCCGCAGCCCCCAATCACACTGTCAGCTCCAATGTTAACTGACAAGTCATCACAAAAACCAAAGGTGTCATTTATCCCAACATCGGCAAAAATGCCATGACAAACTAGTCGGAAAATAGCTACCATTTAATTACTAGGAACAGTTGTCCTGTGACCAGGAAAATAATGATCACCCCCTCGATGGATGGTGTGTAATGTGAAGTGTCACCCTGAACTAACAAATTGGCTGATGTTCTCAGAGGTCAGGGAGGTACAGCAGTAACCTGGCTTGGCAGCTGCACCTCAAACAGCCTGCCAAATCGGCCAATTTGCTCCAAATTAAGCCGGCGATACGTGGCGATGTGAATTATCTCAACATCAAACATTCGCTCTCTCTGCGATCTAAAGCCCCCCCCCCATCCCGTCGGCATCCACTTCCCGCAAATGAGAAAAGACTTCCTCGTAGCCAGCCCTCTCCCTCGCATGTGCTGCAATTTCTCTCACTTATCTGTCCGTTTATATATTTATTTAAATCCATTCCCCGCTTCAGGTTCGATCTTGTCAGCCCCGGGATGTTGAGGTGAAGGGTGGGGGGGTGGGCTTTAGAGGCTGGAACATATAGAGGATGAGATTCACAAAGAGACAGGGGTTTAGTAAAAGACTGAGAGGTTGGGGCTCTGTGCTTGTGATCGGAAGGTTGCAGGTTCAAATCCCGTGGTCAGTGGGGATTAAGCCAGGCCCTAACACTCCAGGCATTGTCTAGCCCTGCTTTACCCAAAAAAAAGTCCATGTTGCTTTGAATAAAAGCTTCTGCTAAATATTTCATTATTCATTATTATTCTTCTGTCAGGTCACGCTCCTGTGTTTTACAGACCCCAGCTCAATCCGGCCCGGTTACAAACGAGGACCTCGTTCTGAAATGCCAGGAGTATTCTACTCTTAGCAAAGCAGGTGAAGGCCCACAACAATGGGGGAATCACACAGCGCGTCAGCCTTGGCTAATTATACATTTAAACTCCTTACATCTTATTATAAGAAGTAATAAATATTCTATTTCAATATAAACCAATGTAAGACAGCTTGACATTTTACTGGAGGAATCTGAGTTAGTTACCTTGTTAAAGAGGACAGCTGTGGAGCCCCTGGGGGGTTTGAGTCAGAAACCTCCAGCGTACGAGTGTGTTTGAACACCTGCCTTCTGACATAAAGAGTCGTTTACGCTTCCGTTGACAGCGGAAGGTTAATACGTCATCTTTTAACAGTATAATCTGTAACTAGAGCCTCGCCTTCCAAAATGGAGACCCATTCTTGACAACATATTCAGCCTTGATGTGAAGAACCAGAATATCCCCCCC